TAATGTAGCTATTTGCTGTCTTCTCTCAAGCATAATATTTAAAAATAGAAAGTTGGCTTTCAGTTGTTTTCTCTAGCATGGACTTTTGAAAAGTTAATGTGCTTTTTTTTGTCTTTTTGAGATAGGGTCTTGCTATGCAGTTTAGGCTGCCCTTGAGCTCACTTTGTGGTCCGGGCTAGTCTCAAACTCGCAGTGGTACTCCTGCCTCAGCTTCCTGAGTTCTGGGATTATAGGCATGTGCCACTAATGCTGGCTAAAGTGTTTTTTTTTAAGGTATATGCTATTTTTTCAAACTGGATGTGGTGCTGTACACCTGTAATCCCAGCATTGCAGGAGACTCAGGCAGGAGAATCACAAGTTCAGGTCCTACCTGGGCAACTTACTGAGACCCTGTCATAAAATAAAAAATAAAGACTGTTCTTGTAGCTTAGTGGCAAACCACCCCAGGGTTCAGTTCCCCAGTACAGAGGGGTGGGTGGTGAGTAGGAGGGAGATGTTACTTTCTGTTATATTTGAATACTTTGAGAGTACAAACTGTTGTTTCCTTTAGTAATAGGGACCTTGTTTCATTGTGCTGAGAGAGACAGAGAGAGAGAAAATAAACTACTTTCTCTTAATTTCTGTTTTTTAGCTTTTCGAGACAGAGTGCTTTGCTCCCCTCTCACTTCCCCAGTCCTTTTGTTTTGAATTGGCCTCATATGTGCTATTCCTATTTAATTTCTTACATGCTTTAAACTAGCATCTGTAAATTATTAGCTAGCTTTATGACTTGGGCAAGTTACCTCTCTACATTTTAATTTTTTTCGAAAGTGAGGATAATATTACCTACTTTGCAGAATTATTGTAAGATTAAATGATTATTAAATGGTGCAGCACCTGGAAGAATGTTCTGTGTGTTTTGGTGATTACAATTATTATAAGCAAGAACCTTGACTTCTTGCCTACACTTTTGCAGCCCTTCACTTTTGTACGTTTTTGGTGAACAGTGTGATTCAGAATCTTAACAAAACTTTATATTAAGCAATAATAATACCAACTTTTATTTCTTTACCATAAATAATTATAAAATTCTGCTTGTTAAAAATAGAGTATCCTTTATTGCCGTAACTTGAACTTGCAGGATAAGTAGTAAATGCGGTGCTTTTTTTTTTTTTTAAATATCTTACAGGTACTTACATACTTGTTCATATAGGTCATTGCTTGAATTGAATTCTGAATGTACAGCTGAATCTAGTTCAGGTATGTAGCACAAAACAGTTTGTTTTGTTTTTTGTTTTGTTTTGAGACAGGGTCTCACTGTGTAGTTCAGGCCAGTCTTGAGTTCACTGTGTAGCCCGGGCTGGCCTTGAAGTCGCAGTGATCCTCCTGCCTCAGTTTCTCCCTGAGAGCTGGGGTTACAGTCATGCATCACTGCGCCCAGTGCACAAAACAGTTTGCATGCAACTGTAAGTATTGGAAAGAAAAACTAGTTGATAGCAAACTGCAGCAGTTAAATTGAGTGGTGGATCAAAGAATTGAGGATACTGAGTTCTATTTAACACTGAATTATTTGGAAACACTTTCCTGCAGACAAAATATTTAGAACCTAGATACACTAGGAAATTTTGGATTCCTTTCCACTTACCAAACCTCTTGAAAAGTGAAGCTTTTTTCTAAACAGATTTAGCTCCTTGAGGTTTAGCCATTGCTGTTGTGATGATCACCAACAGTAGGAATCTTATGCTACTGAATAAGGTTTGTGCCGCTACTGAATAAGTTTTAAAAATGAGATTGCCCTATTTCTTGCTAAACTAGAATATATAAGTTCATTAAAATGATTTTTACTCTTCCTTTTTCTTCCTGTAATAGTACTTTAATTATGCATAAGCCAGTCATTTAGTGCAAGGGGTTAGATTTACATTTTTTTTGTTGTTCATTTAGTAGGATTATTCCTATGTCCTAGATTGTATCCTTAAACCAGATTTTTTTGGGGGGAACATTTAGGCATCTCATCCCAATAGTTGTAGTACTAATATATTCATGAAACTTTTTGTTTTTTGAGATCTTCGTATTTAATTCATGATGTCAAAATAAGTTAGCATATATAGTGACAAAGCATTGCTTTCAGTTTATTCAACAAGGATTCCCACTCTTACTTTCTGGCGGGGTGAACATGTATACCAGGCCTGGCCAATTTTGTACTGTTTCTACTAGTAATACTGATTGATACAAGGGGTTGGCACTTCTAACTCCACAGGTGGCTGTTGTCAGCCTACCTTGTAAATCCTTGTATGTTTATGTATCTTATATTAAATCTATTCTCTAATGAGCACTGAATGGTACAGATTTTGGTACTGGGAGTGTCTCTAGAGAAATGGAATTGTAGAGATGAAATTCTGTAGTGGCTTTAGTGGTTCCTAGAATTGGGTTTTTAATTTGATGAGACCTAAACATGCCATCGTCTCTCCTGATAATGTGTAGAGTACTGACAGTCTGTGGTGTGAATTTTTTAAAATGATCCACAATGTAGATCCATTTGATTAATTCATCATGGGTGAGATGCAAGGAATTTACTGACTCCATATATGCTACTTTTGAATATTTTTGGCAGAGTGGGAAATATGATGGTACTGAATGGTTGCTCTTAGCATCTCTGGACAAGGTGATGGAAGAAAATAATGAGCTCAAAGCAGGCATTAAAAATCTAAAGTCTTCTTAGTATGAAGACAGATAATATAGGGAAGTAAGGAGCTCAAAGGGGCAAATTCTCAGCTCCAGACATGCATAAAAAATTTAAAAGTTTCTAAGTGTGTCCTGAAAGAGAATCCTCTCCTTTATCCAAAGTGCTGAGATTTCAGAAACCCAAACAGAAGCCCTTATAACTTGATTGGCTGAAATACAGTGTAAATTTAAATGTAACGCTCAGCTTTGAATGGTTTCTGAAGTAAAGGAGAGGGCTCTGATCAGAAAAGAGTGGTATCCTGTAAATTGGGATGGAGATGTTTAGGAAGATCCTGACCAGGCTGGGGATATTGAGCTCCTAGACTCTAATGAGGTTATTTTACCAGAGGAAGACATTTCCCTACTGATAGTGATGGACGCATTTCAACCCCCACCCCCTGTGGTGTTGGCCTGTCCTATTCCTGAGGAAATTAATCCTGTGTTGACCAAGCATAATGATGCATACTCTCCTCAGGAACCTCATCACCACTCATTTTTGCTTCTAGGCCTATAGTGACCCTCAAATTGCAGAAGGTTCCTAAAAGTGAGGTACAGAGTGTGACCCATGAAGAGGTCTGCCATTTTTCCAAAGATCTTCTTGAGTTTCCTAACTCTTATAAGCAGAGGCCTGATGAGCAAGTGTGGAATGGATCATGAGTGTAGGATAGTGGTGGCATGCACCTGGATGAGGCTGAATTTGTCTGTATGGGGCCATTAAATAGAGATTTTGAATTTAATGTTGCAACTCATGGAGTTAAAGGTGTTAATAGTTTACAATATTTGGCTGGTTGGCACAAGGATGGATCAAAAGAAGGCCTACTGTGAATAAGTTAGAGATGCCCTGTAATCCTCAGTTTACTGTTATTGAGGAGTTTCAAAGGCTCAGGGAAATGGGAATGGTGGAGTAGGTTTTCCATATTAAACCAAATCCTCTACACTAGGATGATCCACAAAATGTATCTTTCACAAATAGCTGGAAAAACAGATTTGTGAGGGGAGGAGTAGCATCTCTGAAGGGTCCTGTCATTGCCCTTCTCTTTATACCAGAGCTTAGTGCAGGGATTATAGTTACTCAACTGGGAAATTTAATGGCAGGGGTTTTAATTGGATCCTGGAGTAGCAGGGGTCTATTGGCAGCACTCACATGATAAAGACAGGTGCATATACTTATTGTAATGGACAGCAGAAGCAGAACAATGATTGGAATGATCTGATACATGTAGACCTATCATGTTGGCTGATTAACCAGTGTTCCCTAAAGTGAAATAGATAGGAAGCCTACTAAAACTTTCACTAGATTTATACAATCAAAAAACTAACCTTGCAAGCATGAAGTCATGAGTTCAATTCCCGGTACCACCGAAAACAAAAAACAAAACAAAACCAAAACCAAAAAAAAAAAAACAAACTAATGGCAAATGAACAGAAACCTACCTCAAATCATAGTAACAGAGAATCATTGCCCCTCTACCAGTTCACAGATTTGAACCATTTTACAGATCCAAAACCCCTTGAATGAAGGAGTGGCTGGGTCCTCATGAGAAAATACTTGTGTGTGCTACTAAAAATTTATATGGTTAGCCTTTCACATCCTTCTCCAAAAGGACCTATGGCATTACACTGGGGGAAGGGAAATTATCAGAGATTTTGGAGACTACGAGACACTGGTTCAGATCTAATGCAGAAGGCCAAGGGAACACAGAATGGGTAGTAGAAGAAGATCATTATAAATACTGGCAATGACCTTGTGATCAGTTACAGAAATGAGGATTGCAATTTTAATAGTTCTCTTCTCGTATGCTTCCTATAAAATATAATGTTGATAGACTTAAAATTGGTTCTTTTTTTTGTTTGTTGTTTTGGTACCAGGAATTGAACCCAGGACCTCATGCTTGCCAGGCAGGTGCTATGCCCCTGAGCTATATCCCTGGCCCTTAAAATTGATTCATAAGTATTATTAAACCTACGTTATAATGTTCAAGTTATGAAATGTTAGGAATAAGCATCACCCTGAGAAAATTTGCCTTTTCTTCTGGGGAAGGAATTAGTATGCTTCCTTTTTTATTCGGGATAGTTATACTACGTTAGGTGTAATTATGAACCTGTCTGTATCTGGAGACTAAGTATGGTTTAAGGAAATGTGTCTGGTTTTCAAGTTGACAAGGGGTGGATTGTATAGTTAATTGAATGGATTTACTGAAGACAGAAAACCCACCCGGGGTGTGAGTGGCCCCAAGCCAGTAGACTTGTAGCCTGTATGGAATAAAAAGGGGAAAGAACTTTCACTGCTGTTTCTTCAGGGGAACTCCTGCCTTGGACGTCTGTCTACAGGCTTCTAGCACAGACCTTCAGCCTTCCAGCATAGATCCTTTGGCTTCCTGATAGTGACTCACATGGCACTCTACAGTGAGCTCCAGGCTTTTGATCTTTGACTGGCTCCTTGGGATCTTCAATGTACAGACAGCCCTTTTGTACTCTTCTACATCTGACACTACAGGTGGCTGTTGTAAGTTTACATTATAAATCCTTATATATTTATGTATCTTACATTAAATGTTTCTCTAGTATGCACTGATATAGTCCACAGTTTGTCTGTTTATTAGTTGATGGATATTTAGACAGTTTCCAGTGCTTACAGGTCTTTATATGGATATATGTTTTCATTACTTTTGGTTAAATACCTAGGAGTGGATATTGTAGGACTGTATAAGTGTATGTTTATAAGAAATTACTTACTTTGCATTTGTACCAGTAACATATGAGAATTTCATGTGCTTTACATTTTTGATAACAGTTGGAATTGTCAGCCTTTATTTAAAATTTTTTTTTTACTTTTTGGTTTTTTTGAGACCCTGTCTCAAAAAAGGAGGACACTACTATATGTAGTTGAGGCTGGCTTTGAACTTACTATGTAGCCCAGGCTGGCCTTGAACTCATGATGAATCTTCCTGCCTCAGCCTCCTGAGTGCTAGGATGCCAGGGGTGCACCATCACACCCAGCTAAGTATCATCAGCCTTTATGAACTTTATTCTGGTGGGTCTATAGCAGTGATGGTGAACCTTTTAGAACTTTCAGTGATAGCAGACAACTGGCTGTGGCATGTGTGCTATAGATTTGTTACCACTGCTCTGAAGTGGTATGTCTTCATGGTTTTTATTTATATTGTTCAGATGACTAATGAAAATTATGTTTTCATGTGTTTATTTGTATATCTTCTTTGATAAGTGTCTGTTCAAATATTTTACCCATTTAAAAATGTTGTTTTGTTTATTTTTAAATTGCAAGAGCTCTCTCTCTCTTTTT